ATAAAACTCGCTATTTTTTTCTAGGATCTATGGAACCTGCATTCTTCCGTGGCGATCTTCTTCTTTTGACTAATGATCATTCTGATCCGATTCGCGCTGGCGACATAACCGTTTTCAAAATCGATGGGCGAGATATACCCATCGTCCATAGAGTAATAAAGGTGATTATTCTATCGAAACCTTCTCCCAACTCGCAGTGTTGTTCTTACATAATTCCTTGCAGGTTCATGAGAAAACTCCTGAGGACACCAAATTTTTAACAAAGGGAGACAATAACCAGGTGAAGTGCGGCATAATGTGTATGTTTCTTTTTTAAAAACTCAGTATATATTTTTTCTTATATCATTTTGAATTTGTCATTATGAAAATTGGACGGTACCGCTTTTTTCATTTCTGATCAGCGTAAATAAAAAGTGACAAAAAAACCAGTATTAAGCAGAATTTGCGTGCAAGCTTCAGTTTTATTTAGGACTCTGACCATAAATGAAATGATCTCACGTCATGTCTAATCTTGTGTCATTTCGCTCGGGAAGTCAATCATAAATTACGATCGCATTATTTGTTCAACTTTCCAGGCTATTCTGGCTATAATTCTAACGAACAACTTCCATAGAATTCATAGTTAAGTTATTGGATACCGCTTATTATCCACTACTTGAGAGCTGGCTCAAGTTTTCTCAATTCGCGACGAAATGCCTAGCTCCTGTTTGTTACTATAGCGAGCGGGGGCCGGGTGCAGCAAGCTCCAACGCATGGATGGGTTCCCCTAAACTCTGCGTCTCTGGACACTTCCCTATTCTTAACCATGAGAGTTGCGTCATCGATTAGAGACGCAGTTTTTTAGACCCATCCCCTAGTTGGGGCTTGCTTCGCCCGGGTTGCAGTGTATTAGGCTGATGTCATCCGGTCGCGCGACGGATCGCGGACTATGGCACCAGCCTACAGGTTCAGTTTGAGTGTTTTCGTACGTCCCTTATTCCCTTATTGCAAGCAACCTACCAAAAATTTTTGTTCTTGTTCTCCACCACAGATATTGTTGCCAAATCTTCTGGTATGCGATTGAGAGGGCATTGTGTTTTCGGTCTACTCTATTCTATGATCAGTCAGTGTGCGGGCCACAGAATTGAATGCATTTTCATGAACTTTTCAAAAGGAAGAGGCGTCGCCACATAAAAGATACCCTGGCGCTATAAAAACTGGACGACTGGCACACGTTTTCGGTTTTCGTATGATAGTTTAGGTTTAGGTTTAGGTCTTATTACGTGTGCAAAAGGCACATGTGGGAAAAACACACCGATACAACTTCAAAGAAAAAAGAATCAAACATAACTTCCACACTAGTAAAACAACAAAAAATCAGTCATAGTACTGCTAGTTATGAGGAGAAAAGGATCTCACGATACCAATAGGTTAAATGTTAATTGCACCATGTCCCTCGACGAGAGTACTGTCTGTCGTTCGAGAAGAAGGGATGACGGCGTGCCTCGCGCTGGTTGAGTCATGTGACGCATTCATCATAAAACATCTATTCGATTGACGCGCACGTCAGGATCGTCTTTGGTGACTATTTAGTGGACGTGTTGTCTCTATTGCTTGTGATGCAGTAGATTACCCATCAGGAGCCTTATGACTTCGACCATTAATAGTTAATTTGATCACCTGCTACGTCGATACTCTGCTTTGCCAAGCACACTGTGTGAATTTTTCAGAGAACGGTAGTGATATTGTTCTTGGAGCAAGTTACTATGGAGATGCTACCCCAGTAGTCTATTGAGTAATCTCGTTAGGTTTCAGTACAGTTGATTTCATGAACTGAAAAGGTTGTTGTTTAGGTTGACGATCGCGGGCTTTATGCACCCGGACAGATGTGGCTGCATCGTGACGATGTCGTTGGTCGTACGAAAGGCATGCTTCCGTACGTTGGCATGGTAACCATTTTAATGAACGACTATCCCAAGCTGAAGTATGCTGTGTTGGGCCTTCTTGGACTTTTTGTTATCATTCATCGTGAACAGTAGTGGTCCAATTTCGTCGGGGTTATTTGTTTTTGTTGCTGCATATTATAATAAATTTTGTTTTGGGATTATACAAAATAGAATACATAGATGAACGTTTATTTCTCCATACCCTAGCGGTTTTGACTAAGCATGAAACAAGTTTGATTACAAAATGACGGGCTGATGTTTTTAGATAGGCACGAGTTTTACTATACTATAGAAACATATTATATGTACATCACATTTCGCGGTGAACCCAAATTCAGTAGATGAAGGGAAGATGAACAAATGTCAATTACTGCAGCATTAACTCTCAAGATGCAACAAGCGACCAGAATTAAAACGAGCGCAAAACGAAACAAGAACTTAATTAAGGACATGGTAGCAACGCAGCAACATATAATACAGATGATTTCAATCTAATTCCGGTTCGATTTAGGTCGTGTTTCGCTTCCAAGCTCTGAAAAGAAAAGCTTTCTTGAATAATAGCTCGAGAAAAAGAGATACTTTACTATCAAAAATTTGAAATGAGGACCAACCGAGACTGTTGGAGCTCCAGGCGCCGGTTCAGGAAACATAGAAGCATTCACTTCTTGTCTGCAAATGGGACAGGATGGACGTTGCTGAAGCCAAGGAACAACGCACTGAGTATGGAATATGTGATGACATAGCAACTCCACAACCAGTTCTCCTGAAAAAAAAATTACTAAAGTTCGTAGTAAATTTACACTGTATTACGCTCCTTGAAGCAACCCCCAGATCAAATTTGTAGAGTCACTGCGGTTAACAATGTATAATAGTTGTGGACAAATTGATGAAAAAAAGCAAAGAAAATTGTCAGTGAAGCCTCAAACAAGGATTCTCTTGAAAAAGGACGGGGCGGGAGTTGTACGAACTTGCCTGCTCCACGCTCAACTAACCCGCGCGTATTTGAATTAGCCGCTACGCCGTAATCCACGTTGCGTGTCATGGGGTGTGCGCTACGTAACTCGTCCAAATGCTAAGATTAGTCGCCAAATGCTGACTTTGTAAGACCCTAGCGCCATTGTCGCGCACTTTCGAGCCGCGACAACGGCACATCTGTGCTACTCGTGCACTACTCTATCCCACCCACTGGAAATTTTCGACACTTTTTCTGGGGGTGTCGCTTTAAACATCGCCTCCCCTATTTACTCATGTACATGGCGCCTCGAATACCATTTATGCTAATCTGCCTAGACCTCTCTCATCTTCTACTTCCCATACTTTTGCGTTTGTGCTCATTTACGCATAAAAATCACCAACCCCCCAATGCCCCACAGTGCTACAATTACCCCTTTAGGTCACTGATTCGCAGGGCAAACAGTAATACACTAGTGGTCGAGAAGGTTCATCGAAACAATTTTTCGTACATATTTTTACTCACTCTGAGCAATTCGCTTCAACTATTGGAATTACGCTTTTGGTATTTATGAATCCTTCAGTTCTTAGGATCCAAAAAAGACCAGCAAACTAATAAGGAATAAAAGGTGCACGAAGCCCGTTTTGGCGAACACTTGACTGCTCCTGCATATGGTCTGGGGACCTACGCTGTGCAACATTAACTACTCAGCAGCGGAAAGAAGCGCTCTGGAAGAGATCTCTATTCAACTGATGAGTAGGGAAGGGTGGAAGTGCGAACAGGAATGATGACGAGAAATAGTGACCAGGCGACAACCGCAGCAAAAATCATTCAATTCGCGGCAAGGCAAGTT